GTACGAGCGGCGAGCGCCCAGCAGCCCGCCGAGTTTTCGGTCAGGCTTTAGCCCATGCGGCTTCTCCTAGTTCCCTCCCTGATGTACAGGTTTGTGTGACTGCTGGCCAGCCCAAAACTAATTTAGTTAATTGCTTAACTACAAACAAGCATTTCCCTGCTTTCATGAAGTGCGGCTAATCAGACAGCATTTTCTCGCGTTCCTTGGATTCTTTACGAGGGTCAGTACCCTCCCCTGCACTTGTGCGCGCCTTTGGGATCGGGGGTCTGTGAAATGACGCAGCTTTTGCAGAAGGATGCCCTCCCCTTCTTTCCAGGCAAAACCAAAGCTCCCCCGATGCCTGTTTGGAAAGGAATTAGCAGCCTGGCCCTGGGTTTTGTCAGTATGAGCCTGTTTAGTATTCACAACATTCTCTTGAAGAGCTGATTGTACTGCAAGGTCGGCGATGAAAATGATCGAGTGCAACTTTATCTTAATGCTGCAAGCGGTTAATTAATGTCAGTAAATTGTTTAGTGCAATTGCCTCCACGGGCCGGCCCCTCTCTCTGAAGAAGCCTGCATTAGTTTTGAAATTAAATTGCCTGTTGGGAACAAAGGAGCTTGCTTTATTAGCAGAGACTCTCTCGATGTCCAACACTGAAAGCCAGGATTGCATGAAAGATTTTTTTGGCGAAGGGAATGAAATGATCCTTTCAGGCTAAGCTGTTAGTGCGGCTTTTCAACTAACGCGGCTGCTGTGGAAGGTGCCCCCGCAGAGCCAGGCGACGGGGCAGGTTGGAAGGGATCGACTGGAGCAGTGGCCCGTCCCGTGTCACCCATCCTGGTCTGGCAGTGCCGTGGAAGATTTTGCATCTGCTTATTGTACTGGCAGCACTTACACGAAATCCCATCTCGTGTGGGTCCTGGCTTGCTGGAGGCCCAAGTCTCTGGTCCAGACCTCATCGTTTGCAATGCCCAGCCGCTGTCTGCGTCGCTCACACTCCTCAAGCTGAGACATACTGAAGGCTAAAACTCGTAATTTAGCTTTACCAGAGCTATGGCTGCAACATAAATCTGTACTACACGTTTTCTGATCATATACAAGTTTATTACAGAAATAAGCCACTGTTATAAACGGTGCACAGCACAAATGTTGACAGCATGAGCTGGGTCTGAAAGATGCGAGGGGAGTTTGGAAGGGAATGAGATGGCGTTGTCTCAGACTTGCAGCGCTTCTGGTTCTTCCTGCTTAGCTGTCACGTCCCGATGAACGCGGATGGCCGTGCGTCTTCAAGCGCAGCGTCCAGGCTGTCAGGGCTGGGTGGGAGGGCAGCCTCGCGGAGGAGGCGGTGGGACGCCGGTGCAGCCGCCCGGTCCCTCGCCTGCAGGCGCTGTACGAGGAGCCCTCGCGCAGGGGGGAGCGTTGCTGAGCCCCCTCTGGAGCCCAGTGCTCCGGCGGTTTTGTATGTGGCAGTGGTGGCTTTTGGGAGGCACTTGCATGGGGCAGGTGAGTGCTCAGGCCTCAGAGGCTTTGATAAAATTAATGAAAACGCATAAAATCCTGAAGGAGCAGCAGGGTCCTGCAGTTCTTCCCAGAAAGGCTTTATCCATGGGCGACCCCTTTTAAAATAAGCCAAGCTCCCAATTCCATGGCTTCCCTGTTGCCATGAATCCCCAAACGCATTAAAGACCTTGTAGGAGAATATGCCCCATCCATATGCTGAGTGATATAAATAGCTCATATACACTTGCTATATACAAACTATTATGTACATGTGGCATTACTCTATTTGGCGTGAAGCTCCGAACACCTCTTGTGGTACCGCTCCCAGGGTGCTGGGGCAGGAGGTGCTTATGGTTGTGCTGCCTGAGGACAGGCGGTGAAGGCACCTGGATCCAGGATGAAAAGTCCCTTTTCCAGCATCCCTGTCGCTCATGGAGCTACTCCTTCAGCAGACCGAGCTTCTTCAGAGCCTCTCGCCGGTTCTCATCGGTCGCACCCTTGGGGGAAATCTTCACGCTGACGCAGGAGCGGGCCGGCCTGGGGAAGCTCTGCAGCGGGTGGGATCGCCGCTTGCTGCTCTTCTCTGGCTCCACGTGCCCGGACTCCTTCAGACCAGCAAAGTCCTTCCCTGCTCCGAGGGATGCTGGCCGGGGGCGGCTGCTCCTGAGGAAGCTCGGGGCAAGCCGTTCGATGAAGGACATCTTGCCCAGGGAGCTGCTGGTCTTGACGCTCTGCTCCTTGGCGCTGGTCATGTAGCTGCTCAGCCCCACGCCAGAGCGCTCCAGGGTGTTGGATTTAAAGTTCATCTGCCGGATACCCGGCACCGACCTCTCCACCGTCCCGCAGCGTGCCTCGGGCTCTCCAGGGACAGGGAATGGCATCTCCCTTGCTTGGGGTTGCATGGTAGGTTGAAGGAGGGTGCTGGGCTCCTTCCTGTCCTGTGACAGTCCAAGCTTCTCCAATGCCTCCTGCCGGGCTTTCTCCCTCTCCTTGGGGTCGAGGTGCCCCGAATTCACCTTTTCGGCAGCAGCGTTGCTGGCAGAGCTGGTTGAGGATGGCAGTGGTTCTTTTACCTTCTGGCCGGGCTCCGTGGCAAGTGGCACTGGGATGTTTTTGCTGGTTTTCAGGATAATATTTGGTGGCAATTTCCGTGGCTTGGGGGCAGTTGGAGGCCCACGCTTGGCATCTGGGTCCTGAGGGGCCTCTTCCAACATGGATTTCTCTGTCTGGCTCCATGAAGTCCAAGTCTTGGTCTCCTTGGGTGTTTCCCTCTTGGCATCTGAGCGATTGCTACGTGACCACACGTGGCTCACCAGGTCATCCTGGAAGGGATCCGGAGGTTGGATAATCAAAGATCCCAGGGCCTTCATCTGGCTTCTTGTGCTGGCTTGGTCAAGCCTGTCCTCCTTGGCCATCTCCTGCGAGGATTTACCTACTGGCACTGGGTCCTCCACTGTGTGGATAGTTGCTTTGCTGTCAGAAGCTCCGTTTGCTCTTTGTGTGTTTGCTACAGTGATGCTCCTTGGAAGACTGTAATAGCCTGGGCTTGGAACCGCTGCTGGAGCCGAGCTTGAGAAGGCGGAGATGCTCTTACCGTTTTTAGCTGCACGCTGCTGACCTACGCTCAGAGGGGGAGCCCCATTTTCCAAATCTAGGCAAAGAGAGAGATGTGAAGTCATGCACTGTTCTGCACGCTGACACGGGACACCTTCCTGCGTGCAAAACACACTTCATGCCTGCTAGGCCAGCGCAGCCGTGGCGGAGTCCTCGCGCCCAGGGAGGTTACCCTGACCCCAGCTAATATACTGTCGCTGCTAAGGAAGTCGGTACTTTGGATTTGACAAAGCACATGTCAAATACGGAGCCTTGGTAACCTGTGTAAGCCTGTTCAGTGCTGAGCAAAGATGCTCTGTGCTGCAGTTCTGCTGACCTTGCTCGAGAGCTGCCAGCAGCTCCTGCACGCGAGAACTGTGAAAAGGCGGTTGGTGCCCTGCCTACCGCGCTGCCTAGAGCCACCGCGCTGCCTACAGCCACCGCGCACCATGGCGTGACGAAAGCAAGCTGGCTTCAGCTTACCACCTGAATAAAGCCGGGGCAAGGCTCCTTCCCTGCCTGCCAAGGGGACGCGCCCCAGCGTGAAAGGCCCTTTGCGAACAAGGCTGGAGCAGGGGTTTCCAGCTTACCGCGGGGAACGGAGTCTCTCTTAGGCCACGTCCTTGGCAGCTTGGAGGGCTCCGCGTAGTCGGTCTCGTCAGCAGAGACCCTGCCGTCTGCTTCTGCATCCAGTGAGTTCTTTCTCTTCCACAGATAAGTAGTCATAACTGCTATCACTCTGAAAAAGAAAAAGGCAGTACAGGTAGGAGGCACAGCTGTAGAATTAGTCACAGCCCTGACAGTTAAAGAGAGACCTGTGACAGCTCCTGGCCAGGAGACTCGGCCAGCAACCATTCCAAAATTGGTTATTACAGTTACAGAAGGCTAGACAACTTCATCTTTCTCTTCCACAGATAAGTAGTCATAACTGCTATCACTCTGAAAAAGAAAAAGGCAGTACAGGTAGGAGGCACAGCTGTAGAATTAGTCACAGCCCTGACAGTTAAAGAGAGACCTGTGACAGCTCCTGGCCAGGAGACTCGGCCAGCAACCATTCCAAAATTGGTTATTACAGTTACAGAAGGCTAGACAACTTCATCTAAATATACGTACATAAGGCCATTTTTATATTACCCTACTATGAGGATCAGAAGATGGATTATTCTTAAGTTGGAAACTTGGCCTCTACCTTCTAGTTCTCTAGTTTATTTTGAAATATGAGCAGATGAGTGACATGGGTGGTCTATAGACACAGACATCTATGCTGATCAGCAATGCTGAATCTTAGAAGCTTCTACAAGTATCATAAATACTGAAAGCTTTTCTGTGGGTGGTGGTCTCTCTCCTTTTTCTCCTATTCATACCCCAGCTTTGAAAGGAGCATGGCAAAATCTTGTTTAATTTTTGTTGCATTTCAAGTAGCATAAGATACGATTGCTGTGGAAGTGCCAAATTACAAGGTGATACATGCAATATATAATGAAAAAACTGAAGTGCAGGGAAGGATGGAGTAGGTATCAGATCAACAAGCATGGAGGAGAAATTGTCTCAGGTGGAGTTGTTTTGCAGAGAGATACCTATCCAAAGCTTCTACCATGCAATATTACAACCAGTTTTTCCATCCCTAATAGATTTCAGAGGGTTTGGTTCTGGTTTGCCATACATCAAATGGAAAACCTGTTCAGGACTGAGCGTTGCACTTGCACATATCAATTATGCTCCAGGTCGGACAGGGTGTAATTAGCCCATCAATCTTGGAATCAGTGTTTGGAGACAAACAAGCTTTAATGGACAGATAGTGAAAAATTATACATCTACACCCATGGTCCAAACTCATCTCTGCCTTAACTAGGAAATTAATCTCTTGTCAGCTGGGAGGGGTACGGCTCGCTGTCTCTTCCAGGTGAAGTCATCCTTGTTGGAGCCAGTCTGACCCAGTTATCCAACTGGTCTAATCCCTCACTGGGGAACTCGCCAGGCTGCTCCTGCCCAGTGCCTGCACCATCTGCCTCTCCAGGCAATGCAGCAGTCGCTGGGCTCTCGGTGTCATTTCCCTGAGGAGACCTTGCAGGAGCCGAGGCTCCCGATCGCTGCCACGCACGTGGCGGGACGGGAAGTCTGGGGATGCTTTGGGGCAGGAATTAATTTGGTCCTGTGCTGCCCTTGGCATTGTGCTGTATCAGGGCCCCCAGGCGCTTCCAAAGCACTGATGGAGAGTGGTTTCGAGCGGAGATCTGACCAAAATCCTTCCTCAGCTGCCAAGAGGGGCAAGTTGAGCCCCGGCTGTGCCCGGGCTGGGTGCCACGGGGTTACTTACGTGCTGCGAGTGGTTGGAGGCTGCGCTGACCACGCTGTCGCAGCTGCCGGGGTTGCAGCCAGCCACCCCCAGCCCCAGCTCCTTCCTAGGCATATCACCGGCTGCTGCGGCGTCCGGCACGGGGGACACTATCCCGGCTGCAGCGGAAGAAAGGAGAGGGGTTAAGCTGCGAGACCCCCTGGGGCGATGCCAGCTTGGCGGGAGGGAGGGCAGGCGGGTGGTGAAGCTGCTGGATGGATGCAAATGTGCTTGGTCCTAGGCTGCTCTCTCCAGGAGAAGGGGCAGATGGGCTTTTTTAAAGCATCCTTGGGACTGAAGTTTTCCCCAAAAGACTTGGAAATCGAGGGATCTCAGGACCGCCTAGCCACAGCCACCTCACGGTGGTGGTTTAATCCTCTCGGAGGTGTGGATGCAGCGGTTCCTGCGT